ACCTTTTTCTTTGCCTTTTGGATTTCTGCTCCAATGGCACACACACACACACACACACACATATACATATATATATATATATATATATATATATATATATATATATATATATATATAAAGCGGAAAAAGGGTATAAAGCACCGATATCTGATTCATGTCTAAATTCTCTCATCATCGTCTCTCTATTGTGAATCTACGAATCTGCAATGAGACACGAGCTGTGATGGCAATGAAGCAAGCGATGCTAATGATGCAATGAGGTGACAATGTCCAAATATGGGTGTTCTATACCTTTTTTTTCGCCTTTTGTATTTCTGCTCCAATGGCACATTGACTGTGCTAACATAGGACACAGCACATATATATATATATATATATATATGTATATATATATATATATATGTATATGTATATGTATATGTATATATGTGTGTGTGTGTATATATATATATATATATATATATATATATATGTATGTATGTATGTATGTATGTATATACATACATATACATACATACACATACATACATACATGCATGCATATATACATACATATATACACAAGGTTTTCAATTTCGATGTATACCACTCGATACAAGCGATACGGTACCGATATGCAGATCGCTCTCTACCGAGTGGTACTAGTGTTTTGACCCTGTATCAGGCGATACGAGGTCTGTATCAAGTGGTAACGATCGAAATCCAACTATTACCGAGGCGTATTGGTCGATATGCCTCGGATTTTGATTGTTACTGATGTGTACCGATCGGTACGCCTTGGGTTTCGATCGTTACTAAGGCATACCTGTTGGTACGCCTTATTATTTTTGGAGGTTTTTTAGAAATTTTTGGGCATACCAACCCAGTGTACCGTTGGTATGTCTCGGTACATACCATACTGAGCAAGGCTCGGTATACCGATGCAAACCGAAATTGAAAACCTTGTATATGCATACATATATATATACATACATAGATACATAGATATATACATATACACACATATATATATGTATGTATATATATATGTATATATATGTACATATATTTATATACACATATATATATATACATATATATACACATATATACATATATATGCATATATATACCTATGCACATATACATACACATATATAAATAAATATATTTATTTATTTATATTTATATATATATATATAATCTGTTAGGCAGAAGTTCACCAACTTATATGCCCATACCTATGTGAATTGTCCAGCAATAGTGTTTCAAAAGTAAAGAGAAGTATTGCCCCCATATTGAAGGAAATTACCATTGAAGAAAGGGCTCGCAGTCCTGCAGCACGCATATCATTTGCCCTCTCATCCTCCCCCATTTCCTGAGCAAGCTCGCACAGTTTTGGAATTAGGCCTTCCAAATTGAACATATATGTGCCATCTATCTGAGATACAACAATAGAAAAACACTAACCTTCATTAGGTATTCCTTCATTAAATTGCAGTAAGTAATATGAAAGAAAAGGATAACCTGGCATATAACAAAGTCAAAAATAGTATGGCATCCTATAATACACATCTCATCCTGTCTTCTCTGATCAAGAAGTGTGCATATAATGGTTAATAAGCTGCTAGCAAAAAGTGGCCTGCGACAGATACATTTTGAATTCAGTTAGTCCAATTTTATTAGTGATTGGTGAATTCTTGAATTAGTGAAGAACGAAGAAAGTTCCACTTCCATGCTACTGCAAGAAAACAATAACACTTTTTCGTGAGAGTATATTGTTAAGCTTAACATTATATAATGCTAAAGTTAATGGAGACAAGAAGCAATTCCAAATATAGAGTATCTATGAAATAATAATGTAGGGAAGAAAATGTAAAGCCTGGTTTACAATGATGTACCAAAATTGCTTGAATTTAAGTGGAAATGCTGTCAAGATCAGTCCAAAAATGGAAAACCTTGTTTAAGACTAATTTATTTGAAAGCAATGCCTAGTTGCCTACTCATAAGTTTTGAAAGGCAGTTGAGATTAAAAAGTATTATAGTGTGGTGTTGGTAGAACTAGAAGTACCATATATTCTGTGTGCTCTTCGCTGTTTATAAATTTGAGTACTACTAGCAGTCCTTGAATGGTTGTCACAAAATGTTACATCCTGGTGGTTGTTGTTAACACCTTATTCATCCAATTGCTGCCCACACTACAAACGGTGCATGATTATGAGCCAATCAACTATCGTTGGTAATTACCTGTTGTTAAGAATCCAACCTGACAGTTCTCTGGTTGCCTAATACTCACTTTGTTCCACAACCCAGTGACAGTCATCTCTTGATTAAAACTCCAGTCAAACTTATTGTCGGTTGGCTTAGGCTACTTTTATGTGCTAATAATTATCCAAATTAGAGGGCCCTATGACAAAATTTTATATCAGAATATAGAATTTATAATAAATGCAAACATATCTAAGTTCGTAAATATGCACACTTAGTGAGAGGTGACAGTAAAGTTCCTAGATGTTATCACTATCCAATAGAATGAAATTCTTAGTCTAGGAAAGAAAAATTAATTTCTCCCTTTACAGACATCTCAACAAACAATATACTCATATAAAGATAAGGTTTTAACTTTTAAATACTGACCGGACCATGATATATCAAGCCTTAATTACTGGTACAATGAAGTACTAATATCAAAATGTATAGCTTGACACCACTAGACCACAATATATCAAGCCTTAATTACTGGTCCAATGAAGTACTAAAACCAAAATGTATAATTTGACACCAGTACATATACAGCTCATTTTTATTCTTTTTGTTATGTTATTCGATGTTTCCAGGCAGTACCACATCAATATATTGCCCAATATACCAGTATCATACCAGTCTGATAGGCAACTGGGGCAGGTAATTATATATAATCGAAGAGTTACCATGAAAAGCACCATATAAATCTCATGACAAAACTAATATGGAAAATGAAATTTAACTAGGCATTAGATCTGTCTCAGTGAATTATAAGAGCAATTCTAGAAAAGGAAATAAATTGGAAGTGTTAATTTGTTCCCCCAGAGGATTCAAATCTTAGAATTCTACCAACTTTGGTAACTACGAAATGGTATGATACTGATATATCGGATGGTACATTGATCTGTTTCATCCAGTATTACTTAATAAAATAATTAATTAATAAAATATGATAATGTGTTGATATCAAGCTATATGTTTCAGTATTGGTACTTGGTTGGATCAGTGAAAACTGGTCCTATTGCCGGGTATGGTTGAGACATAAAACACTGGTTTCTCCAAAATGTGAAATATGCATTTCCAATCATAAGAGTTTGTCTTGTAAACTCCCTAAAAGTGTTTTCCCTTTATGATTTTAGTCACTGATGCTATTTAAAGTTGATTCAGATTAAATAAGAGAATTCCAAATAGTGTAATGTCATCAAAGTGTGTGCATAACTGCATATTGCTGTCCAATAAATTTTACAAAGTTTTGACCTGTTCCAACACTCAAAGACATGCCATCATGGTTCTAGCTGAAGGTTAGACTCGTTCAATTCCCAAAAAAAACAGCCCCAAGCTTTCCTGTGTTTGGCTCTGTCATTTGCCAATTTGATAATTCCCTTGATATGCAGAAAGTGCTCTTCTTCATTTTGATTATGACTTATGCAAGGAAAAATTAAAAAGTCATTTGAGCTCCTTAATGGATCATACAGTGCATGGTTAAAGACCAATCTCCAATATTCAAAACTTACCAAATAAATGTGGTTAATTCAGAAATGAAATTACATAGTTTCCTTCAAAATTTTTAGAGGCCTGGTTAGTTTATAAAAGCAAATAAATAACTGCTACTAAACATCATATCATATGTAGTTTAGACATTCAGTGGGGTTATACTATGGCTACAATGTGGGACAATCCAGTTTAATGTTATCTATGGAACCTTGTAAGTATTTAGCAATAACAAGAGTTAGTTTATACTCCATAGGTCATCTCATAATTGTGTTATTGTTTTTAAGAAACTGAAAATGATCTGCATTGGAATAGTATTTTATATGATTTAGAAAGCATAAATTGTGTTTAATTGTTTATCTAGCTTTATAATAAAGAAAAGAGCATGATAAAAGATCCCATAAACAAATCAATCAGTGGAGATAATATCGTAGTGCGATAAGGCTACCACGGATAAGAACCAAATGTGTATCAAGTGATCATCTCACATGATGACAAACTATTGTTGGTCTTAGTTATAAATGACAATATCACTTAGGGAAACACAAACTTGAGATTCTCAGTATGCAAGGGTATATGGAAAGAAAGGCTTGGACGATAATTGTACTTATGTTGCTCTCCAAAATTGGAAAATTCCGGGAGGATGCTGTTGTACATATGAACTTAGTAACCTACTCTGGGGAGACATATGAGAGGATATACCAAATTACAAATATAAGATAGTCAGTTTTCTATAACATTACTGTTTTGTATTTTGTTTAAAAATATGTAATAACATCTAATGGCTGTCCTCCAGAAATTAAGATATCTAAGCACTAACAAATTTCATTTATGAAGAACTTTGATTGTTGTTGTACGTTGCATGTTTAATTTGAAAAACAGAGATATGACTTGTCGAATAATTTCAGCCCCTTTAACACATATAGTTGAAAATTCTTAATCATCTTCATGGCTTCGCCAAAAAGCATCACTTAAACCCAGAATTATCTTCCATGATCTATCATCTTTTTGTATTTCTTGGCTACAACAATGTGGATATCACAATAAACCAGATAGTGCAGAAACTTAAGCCATTGCACCTTAATTCCAGGTCCTTCATACTTGCCTATATAACTGTGATAATGTTAAAGTAAAACTATAACAATATGATCATTGGTCACATAAATGTCAAACCTCACAAAACGATCTAAAATCAGTTTAAGCAAGGTGAGGAAAACAAGAAATTTGGAGACAAAGTCAGTCGTGATGGCACCTTCATAAGAACTTGGATATAATAATGTGTAATGTGCTTATTTGGAGCTTGTATAATTCTGTGGAACTTTCATTCAATTGATCCTAAAACTGTCTACCTGTTCCCAATTTTCTCTTTTGGCAACCACTAGTTTATGTAAGAATTTTTTTTCTGTACAATAATTAAACAAATCTTGATACATTATGCAAAAAGATATATCCTCAACAGAATTATAAAAAATGGCCTTGCATTATTTAACAAAACTAGAATGAAATACAGAATCAGAAAGCATGCAGTTGATTGATAAGAAGAAAACTTACATCTGCTCCTTACAAGAGACTAATAATTTCCGGTAAATGCACAGGACGACTTTAACTGTGCCAAAGTGCTCAAGCCTCAATTCCTTGTAAAATTTCTGCTCCAGATAACTCGTTATCTGTTCAAAAAATTTCACATTCTCAGATTTAAATTGCATCAACAAAAAATAACAAACTGACGAAAAAAAGAATGCTTATTGTTTTACCTACCTAAAAAAATCCAATTAAAAACAAATCACAAACCGTGATAAGACTTTAAAAACTAAGAGGACTTATTTGTAAGAGATGATTGGCACATACATGTTTCTTAAAATAAAAATGCTACCAAGCAGTTCAGAACACATTGCTAACTTGAGCAAGCATTAGGAAATAGCACAGTTATGGTAGAAATGGGCAAAAGAAAAATGTACACTAAGCACTGTGAACTTAATATGCCATCTCTATTTAATGTACTTCCCCAAATAAAATGTAACATGAAAAACATATAAAGAAGGCATACTTTCAAGACAATTCAAAGGAAAACTTCAAGAAGCTTAGTGGTGAAAGCAGGATATAAAACTTCTTCTTTTGACACTAATTATTTCTCTTCTCTATCTGCTATCAAGAGAAGCTAGAAAGAAACTTTGGGTCATGGGTAAAGGACATCAAATAATTAAACAACTTGCTGTATGTTGTGTGTGTGATGATGACGAAGTTGGTTTTTGATTCATGCCTAACAAGAAAAAGAGTAACAGAAATTACCTTCGGAATTCGTAATGGATTCCTGGAAACATATTCACACAGTTTGCTGATTTTTCGATCGTTTGGCTCTTCGTCCTGTAAGATAAGTCACAACATTTCCTTTGACAATCAACCAAAAAAGACAAATGCATTTTAATAAATATTACTTTGTGGCTAGACAAAAATCATACGAGGGTGGAAAGGTGAATGATCATTATTTCTCTTACATTTTCTCAAAAATGTTTCTAAACAATTGAACAAAAATATTTTGGATAATGCAAGCATTACAAGAGCCTCGAACATTGGAACTTTTCAGGAACAAAAATGTATCCTGTTGTCAAAATGAAGAGGCACAACTGAGATCGATTGACACCAAAGAAAACATTAAAATTTGTCTTGATGGTACACACCAGTGTTTTGCTAGAACCATATGTGCTGTTGGCATAGCTCAGAATGCAGCCATGCTGAAACAAATGTGCCATTGAAACCAATAAATGGGGAAAAGAAAAGAAGAGAGGAGGGAGAACACTTATGCGCTTAGGCTACTCTTTGGTAGTTTCTACAGCTCTACCACAGCTATAATTCAATGGGCAAGGGATTGACAGAGGTGGCTTTAAGCTTAGACATGTGACAAATCGAAGAGGATCCATCATGGATCAGAAATCCAACGAACATATTAGGGTTTGGTTTATAGTCACTAGGGTTCAAGTTATATGCCTGGACCTGTCTTAGATTAAGTATGGGCTTGGTTTGTCATTCGAACTCATGGATCAGTTTAGCTAGCTGGAGTTAGTATATATGGAAAGACAAAGTTTGCAATACTATCCAATGTAATTCGGTATGGGCACTATTTACTAGTTTGACAACTTACCGGCAAAAGGAACATGTAAACCAGGTGGTACATAGTTTTTTTTTTTTCAACTGTTTTTCAGATTTTTTTTGAAACTTGGTACATATCGGCATATCAACGCCCGTCCGAGCTAGGACCTGTCTGGTACCCAAAATTAAAAATCTTTTCGAAAAGTACTACTCAAAATCAACAATTCACCGGTCATTCCATAACTAGAACAATATGTGACACCTGGTAAGGAGTGGCAGGGCTGAATATATTAAAGGATAATAATTTTGAGCTGTATGGTTTAAGCTATTTCACAAGCAGAATTGGTACAGAAAATAGAAGCCCATAATTTTTTTTATCAGATAAGGATGCTTAATAGAAAAATTCAGCAACCAGCATCATATACAGTTAATGTTTCTGTTTTCCTACTAACACAAGATATAACCATCTTTTCATAATTTTCACATATTACATGGTTGAACAGTTCCATCAACACAATAAGATTTCTTTTCAAAAAGCTATAGATTTTCTATTTGGGCAGCTAGAACCAATGACTTACAATTTGGATATCCACATGACATTATACTTAATAGAAAGAAAGATCCAATCTGTTCAATCATATGAACAAGAATGCAAACCTCCTCCTGAGTCCTGACAATATAATTGAATCAAGGCATAAAGAGAATGTCTCATCGGATATTAAGAAATCCAAAAGCATGCTTTCTCCAATTGTTTATAATACATTAGCAAGTTTGTGTTTTTAAGACACATGATTTGTAGTCATGTGATAACATCATGCAGGATGCTAGATGCTTTTCCTAAATACAGCCTACAAAACTACATCTAGTAATCTCTCCTCAGCATGTGATACTCAAGAATTTACCCCCTTAATGAACAGCCCCCTCTTTTCTGCATAATACTGATCACAAGGTCATGACTTTTTTAATGACTAATTTTGTTTGCAAACTCCATTAGGTAACTCTGAAGGAGATCTGCATGAATCTGTATAAATTTCATATGGTTCTTACATTGTACCTCTTCTTTCATGCATGGTGAATCATGAAGCACTAGTTCTCTGTATTATGTTCTGCACTCCACTAACCTAAACCTCCATAAGAAAGCAACCAAAAATCCACAAAAAACAACATGCACCTAAGAAAAATCGAGACACTGCATAGTTACAACACCTAAGAAAATCCCATCTTGTGATATTGTAAATGTTAGTAACTTTGTTCTAGATTGTATATGACACGAAACCGTGAAAATTACCTACATTTCTATTCACGATCCCTCTCCGGTTAGTAACTTTGATTGTTGATAAAAATATATAGAGGCAGAATTCATGAGTGAGATGCCTAGGAACATAGCAAGGGTGGTGCATGTGGCAATGTCGACAACCTCTGATTCATTTTACTGCCAAAATGATTACTTTGATCTCTGTCATCTGAGAATGACATAATGGTATAAAATACATTGGATATTTACTTTTAACTTCAAGTTATATGTACCAAGAAAATGGACTTTGCGAGATACTGCTCCATCCTAGAGAAACACATGGCAATATCTCATTGAAGTGGTTTCCTGATTTAGTATTGATCAGTTTCAGGTGGAACCAGTTCTTTATGAGAAAAACTGAGTGAGGCTTTATAGTGTCAAATAAAACAGATTACAGATATCAGAACTTGCGACCCTGTCGCCCAATCAAAACCCAAAGATGGCATTTACAGTTCGAGAGTGTAGCAAAGACCTGTTCAGGTATGTCTTAACTTTTCTCCACATTTATTTTGTCTTCCTTTTTTCATTTTACTCATACCAGACACCACACCAGATTGGTCCAAGCAATAATCAATACAGGACTGGCACATGATAATTAGTTCCTTCAGAAGTGCAATGTCCATGAAATAATACAAACTAAATCAACTCTTAATTACTTCAGAACAATCAAGGTAAAAATATATGCAGTATTTGAGTGATATCATATTATCACTTAACATTCAGAAATGCAGTATACTAAGTAAAAGAAACGAAGAAAAAGGAAACTCACTTGGGATCGAGGAAAGATATCAGCTAGTAGCTTCTTGTATCGCTTCACTGGCTGCCGAGACCTAGTTCGTAAAGAAGGGCAAAAGATACATAGGCTTTCACAAGCAGGCATAATGCTCCTTGATACTACCCCCATCTTCCTAAACAAGTACTATTATGTCAAGGGGAGCCCTCAAATTATTGGTGTTAAACCTACATTGGTAATAAAGTCAGTGACTTATATATTCCAGCCATAAAAACATAACAAAATCACATCCATGATAAGACTCAAAGTTAGGCGCAGAGGATGTAGCCTATCTAAATTTTCATTTTTTTGAGAGGAATTTCAAGTAAAACGATAGCTTCATCAAAGGGGGTTCACAAACAATTAACATATCAAGATTTTCAATGCCATCCCATTCAATTGAAAAATAACAAACAATTACCCTGCTCATTCCATATGTACACCTGTCATTGCACTTATTACCTACGTCCAACCTGGTTACAAGATTTACCGAATTTTTCCTGATAACAAATGCAATTGAACCAGAAAACCTAATGAACCACATTAAGAAACGTAGTCAGCGTTGCAAGATAACATACGGGAGACGAAATCAGGAGGGATTGAGGACGATAACAAGTGTTCGACCCTGCTCTGCACAATTCTTTCTCCAAAACGAAAGAAAGCAATCAAAAAAACAAAAAAAAAAGGAGAAAGAAGAGCAGAACGGAAGGGAAGACTGGAATCGCTCCAACCTTTCCCCTCGCCCTTCTCCTCCTCCTCCTCCCCTTACTCCGCCTTCTGCGAAGCAGCGAGCGGTTCTTAGGCGAGAAACCTAAAGAGGAGAGGAGAGAGATAACAGGCGTGACCGTTTCAAGCCTTTTAAAAGAGCCCAAAAGACCTGTTAAAAACAAACGGAATTGCTTCCCGACTTACTCTATTTTCTACCCATTTCATTATTGGTGAAGATTTTCGGGCCCGGCCGGGCTTACAAGTGGGTCCCATATAGAGGTGAGATGGTCAGGACGAGGACGAGCGCGAGGGGTCGTAAGTGACGGTGGTGGGACGTGTATACCGTTGGACGTGCCGCCCACGTGTGGGGCCAACAATAGTTGCCCGCACCTCTAACGGTTTTGCACCATCCCTTAAGAGGACTCTCTCTATTAACTGACATCTGATTTCGTTTACCCGCGACGCAACGGTGGGCCCCATTGGAGACCAACGGTGAGACCCGCCTCTCTTCTGAGAGTAATCCGTAATAGATGTGGCGTAATTAGTACTAAACTTGCCCAATCAAAACATAGGTATAGTTGTCTGGTAAGTCAAAACGTGTCGGAAATATATTGTTCTTCGTTAATTAACTATCGATGCCACTTTGGAGTTATTAGCAATTTATTACATCGCCGTGGACAAAAATGTCAGAAGAAAAGGGAAAATAGGAGATTTGTATTGGCAACCTTTTTATTATTATTATTATTTACAACATAAATTTCTCTTGGCAATCCATCCCATACAATCGATAACCTTTTCTAAAAATAATAAAATGTTATTTTACTATTTATATTCTTGTATTATTAATTTATTTTTTATAATTTTTTATTTCATCCTTGTGGTCATTGTCATGTCACTCATCGTTCCCTTAACGTAATTCAAAAAAAAGATGATATTTAATTTGTTTGCTCAACTTGTAGGATTTTGTTGTTCAAGAAACTATACAAAACAGCAAATCTTTGAACCAAACCCAGAATTTGATCTACTTAATTTGTTTGATGAAGTGAGATCTAAGAGATTAAGTACCAAAAGACAATAATTTTATGATCACAATTCACAAGCATATCATGTGATCGCCAATTCTAAAGCAAAAGCTTGTGGAGCTAAGAATATATATATATATATATATATATATATA